AACGACAGTGTTACCCCTTTCGTTTTTTTCAGTTTTCGGGCGAAAAATTAAGTTTCTCCAATCTTCTCAAAACTCTGGATTATGATAGAGGGCCATGAGACTTTGACCTGAGTGCAAAAATGGAGGCTCTAGACCCTTCCAGAGCTGAGATATCGAAATTCAAAAATTTCGACCCGAAAAAAAAACGACAGTGTTACCCCTTTCGTTTTTTTAAGTTTTCGGCGCGAAAAATTAAGTTTCTCCAATCTTCTCAAAACTCTGGATTATGATAGAGGGCCACGAGACTTTGACCTGAGTGCAAAAATGGAGGCTCTAGACCCTTCCAGAGCTGAGATATCGAAATTCAAAATTTCGACCCGAAAAAAAAACGACAGTGTTACCCCTTTCGTTTTTTTTATTTTCGGGCGAAAAATTAAGTTTCTCCAATCTTCTCAAAACTCTGGATTATGATAGAGGGCCACGAGACTTTGACCTGAGTGCAAAAATGGAGGCTCTAGACCCTTCCAGAGCTGAGATATCGAAATTCAAAATTTCGACCCGAAAAAAAAAAACGACAGTGTTACCCCTTTCGTTTTTTTTTGTTTTTGGCGAAAAATTAAGTTTCTCCAATCTTCTCAAAACTCTGGATTATGATAGAGGGCCACGAGACTTTGACCTGAGTGCAAAAATGGAGGCTCTAGACCCTTCCAGAGCTGAGATATCGAAATTCAAAATTTCGACCCGAAAAAAAAAAACGACAGTGTTACCCCTTTCGTTTTTTTAGTTTTCGGGCGAAAAATTAAGTTTCTCCAATCTTCTCAAAACTCTGGATTATGATAGAGGGCTGTGAGACTTTGACCTGAGTGCAAAAATGGAGGATCTAGACCCTTCCAGAGCTGAGATATCAAATTTCAAAATTTCGACCCGAAAAAAAAACGACAGTGTTACCCCTTTCGTTTTTTTTGTTTTCAGGCGAAAAATTAAGTTTCTCCAATCTTCTCAAAACTCTGGATTATGATAGAGGGCTGTGAGACTTTGACCTGAGTGCAAAAATGGAGGTTCTAGACCCTTCCAGAGCTGAGATATCGAAATTTCAAAATTTCGACCCGAAAAAAAAACGACAGTGTTACCCCTTTCGTTTTTTTGTTTTGGGCGAAAAATTAAGTTTCTCCAATCTTC